TCTCATTTGGGTTCCTGAACATGGAAACATTGAAAGAAATTATATAAGCAGACAGTTAACAGTAAACAAAAACAAAAGTGTTCCTGAATTCTAAATAATATATAATTTAATTATTACATTTGATTAGTTGTTGTGATAAGTTTCTTAACACAGCTGATATCTACGGCTGTCCATAATTAGCGCTTTCTCGTCATTTTATGAACACATTCCTCGGAAAAAATCTTATATAAGATATAAGAAGACAAAACTTAATTCATTTTTTTGACTTTAACTTATATAGCAGATTTTTCGTGTGTTCCGATGAACAGTCTAATAAACTGTAAGAAAAGTACTTCCCTAAGCATTTATCTCTTCTGGACACCAGAGCTGTGCATACACAAATACTTAATTATTTCACTTTCCTGCAAGTTTGTTCAACTTTTACAATGAGTAGTATAAAGATTGCACAAAAGGTATACAACAGTGACCAGGGTTGTCTGCAGTAATGCTGACAGTATTTACGTGCTCGCTTTTAATTAGTTCGCAAATTCGGATTTTTCAAGTATCTTCCATTTATTATTGACATATTGAAAAATTAAAGATAAGCACTACCCTTAACAATCTCCTGGGAAACATTAACCTATTCCCTTCGGGATATTTGTAGGGACGCGGCAAAGCAGACCAAACTATGTGCTTTTTTATTTCCGCTCTTACCCCAGCTATCCACTCCCCTACCCATGTATTCGTCTTGTAATCTTTACAAGACGCCGGGCCACTACAATAACATCTGCGTTTATCTTTCATTCAGTACTCCTATCTTTAGAAAACAAGATAAGTGTAATGTCGGTTGGCCGATTTAGCTCGTCAATTGTCCTGCCCGATCACCGATGACTTATCTACCAAAACTCGTAAATACCAATAATGGAAAATAGATCGAATAACTGTTTACTTCACATATATATTTCTAAGTAAATATTATTCGTTTAATTTAATAGGTAATATGACCTATAAAATAACAAATATAATTACCAAGTGATCATCCACAACAACAGCACTCGCTGGATGTGTGTACATAATGATGACACACATTTGAAGGCAGACAGCGAAATATAAGCATCCATATTCTTTTTTTCTTGTCATTTATCATATTCCTGCAAACGAAACGTCTTTAAAGTGTTTAGACTTATTTGTGTGAATATCTCTGTATGTGTGTACGTGTGTGTATATGTTTAACTTTGAACTTGTAACCAATATTATTTTGTTTATATTTTTTTATATATTTTTTTGTTTTGTTTATTGGTTATGTGGTTTACTGGTGCTTCTCACAATAAGTTCATTTTCATTTCATTTTATTTTATTTTATTTTATGTTTTTCTATTTAAATAAAAAAAAATCAAATATAAAACGTACGTGACACTTGTGAAAATCTTTAATACTGTGGAGTATACGTATGTATATTCCAGCAGCAAGACAAATGAAATGAAACAAATTGTTTTACATAATAATACTTTTACTTACATGAATATATGTATGTACGTACACTCATATAAATAACAATATACACGTAGGTATATACAAATATTTAGTATAAACAGCTCACATCTGCACATTCACACAAACAAATATCCAACAAAACATTTCGACTCATATGTATGTTTCAACAAACAAAAAAAAATATATACACAAATTATGGGAGTTTTACGCGCCATCGTCATAAACATCTTCAGCGCCAGCAACGTCTTTTCCAATATTGCCCTTGTTATTATTGTAATTTTGTTGTTGTTGCTTCTGTTGTATTTATTATTGCTTCATGTTATTATTGTTGTCTTTTTATTATTATTATTGTTGTTGTTGCTGCTGCTACCGTTGTTATATCAAGTTCAAGTTCAAGATAAATTTTATATTATATTATTTCATTTCTTTTTATTATTTTTTTTCCTGTTTAATATAATTTCTTATTTTTTTTTATACCTACATATGTCTCTCCATTCATACAACAGCAGTTTTGTAGGTATATCTTAGTTGGACTTGTTGGTGTTAATAATTATATGCAACAACAAAAACAACAAATACTACAATATTATAAAATGCATTATGTTATTGATTATTGATTTAATGTGCATATATATTTTAAATTTTACTGATAAATTATTAAAATTTAAAATAGCAAGAGACTAGACTGATGTATTGTATATTTTTACTTATTAAATTTTACTGTTAAAATTTTTTTTTACACATAATTAATAATGAGGTTATTCGAACAGTAGTGAATTACAACAACAAAAATTCTTTTTTATATTATTTCAATTAATTGAATTTTTGGCTAACCATACAGCTGTTTCGAGAATTGTCAAATACTCCTCATTAGTGGTCTTGGAAATAATTCTTGTATTTATTTATTCGTACATAATTTTTTTAAGACTGCAAGTATCAGGAATCGAACTCGTCTCCTGCCAAATTTAAAGCTCAGAGTCAGCGCTCCTTAAACAACTGGCCCAAAGCCGTACTTGACTTTTATGTTCGCACATTTTTCCTAGAGTTTTGTTAATTTGTTGTGAAAGTTTTAACAAATTTACTTAATAATTGTATCTTATAGTTTAATAAACATAAAAAATCACCATTTTTCCAAAAAGTGATATCAGTTTAAAGTTGATACAATTCTTACGATAACTCAATTTCGTTAAAATTTCATAAAATTGCAAATAATTTAAAAACTAATAGACGAATCACTCCTATTTTAATAAATATGTACTTATTTAAAATTTTGTCTAAAGGTTGCATATTTCAATGAACAGAAAATCTCAAAACTTTCGGAATATTTGTAACATAGCACAAGTATTTTGTATCCCAAATTTCATATTTCTATCTATTATAGTTTTTGAGGTATTTAATAATGAAAAATTGAAAAGTTTACCATATTTAAAATTAAATTTGAAATGGTTTGGATAAGATGTTTGGACTTGATTCAAAAAAAAGCCAATCTCAAAAACTATATTTAAGAAGAATTTCATTTTGGTATATCAACTGACACCAAAAAATAACGAATTTTGATTCTCTCATTTTAATTCTACCACATCTGTGCCTTACATTTACTTTGTTACTATCCAGCGTTTCCGAAACGCCGATATACTATTTTAGGGGCCAGCTCTAGGACCTCACTCTAAAGAACATTTTTGGCTTTGTCATATGTTTCTGGTAATTTTTCACTATCTGAGTTTCTTGTCTGGTAACACAATGGGCCAATCGGCCTGAGTGTATCCTAAGGATCTCCAGAACAACTTAATGTAAGCTATAGCAATAATAGAACTCTTCCACGTACTACTCATAGTAACTTTAAGTAACACTGTGTATACACAAGTGCGGAGTAAATGAGAGCATTTGAGAGCGCATAACATCCCTGTTGAAAATTGAAAATGCTACACAGACTTTACACGTAGATTTTATTTCAAGTAAAATTTATGTTGATGTGTAAATCAGCTGTTTTGATTTGAATTTAAATTTTTATATTGTTTATCTGCACGGCACTGGAGTTCTCACCAGATTTTACACAAAGCTGTTCCATGAAAATCTATGTAAAGAGTATAACTTGGCACTTTAATTGTGTTACGCTCTCAGTTTTTACTTTACTAGTGTTTTACTTGAATTTTACTACGAGTAGCTCGTGGAACAGACCTAATATGTTTTGACACTTGTGTTTCATTACAGCGATTCGCAGTGCAATATAATTGAAATGAAAGTACTAAGGCCCCTAACAGTTGTAAAATGAGGTAAAACAAATATGGTGACTCTCCAATTTAAGTTTTATATTGTTTGATCACTGACAGATAACCTCACCGTTATGATGGCGATTAATATATATATGTATATATAATATAAAATATTTATATACATATGTAATAAATATATATATATATATCGGAATTGCTTCAGTGTTCTGTGATTGCGTCTGTACTTCACGGAGGATCGACATACAGAAGCACATGTAGGATGAGCAACTTATAAAAAGTAAAGTTCGTCATAAACTAAAACCTTACAGTGATCTTACAACATTCAGTAAAAAATAAAATCAAGTTTTAATTACTAAATGTTCAAATTTTTTGGATTCTAGTGTTTAAGCATTCACTGTATTGCATAAAATCGAGCATACAATAATAAACCGGCTGTTGTTTGTATTGTAACAAATTTACGTTAAAAACAAAGAAGAAATAAATAAATAAACAATTAAGAATCTATATAAAAAACACTAAAATAACCAGAAGTGCATGTAGAGTCAACGTTTAACCTCCACAGTCACTTTAAACCGCTCAAACCCACAACGAAAACACGCAAGACTTGTTTGACTGCACACTAGAAGCAAAAAACGAAAAAAAAAAAAACAAAAAAAAGCTTAAAATTAAATTATTTAGCAAATAAAAAAAAAATATATCTAAAAGTACCCAGCAGTTTCATTCCACTACGAACCCACCATTTGTTGCGACAAAACTGCAAAGTGAAAAATATTAAACTGCATTTCAGGAACGCCATTTTATTTATATGTGTATTTATATATATGTATATGTAATTTTTTATTTTAACTTTTGGCTTTTTACTGCTGTTGTTGTAGTATGAGTGCGACTATGAGGTCTGCTAAAGACGGCTATCATAAATTTATTGTGTCTACGCTAGCAAACATTGCACTCATTTGTTTATGCATTTCCTTGGTACAACACACACA